AGTGATGTATTCAGTCAGTGTGATCAGGACAATGGTCCCTGAGATGTGAGCCCTCAAACCATATTCCAGACACAGAAAAGGAGACTGTTGTATCTTCTGTGTCCTCAGGCTTGAAGGAGGCTGCGGCTATGACTATATCCTGGTTTATGATGGCCCCGAATACAATTCTTCTCTCATTGCTCGGGTGTGTGATGGATTCAATGGATCTTTCACCTCAACCTGGAACTTAATGTCTGTAGTCTTCATCTCGGATGGCAGTGTGACCAGGACAGGGTTCCAGGCTGACTACTACTCTATTTTTGTCCCCAATTACACAAGTAAGTTCCATAGTGAGAATGAATGTCCACTTGGGATCGGGGATGTTACAATGAGCCATCTGATCCTCAACACTCCTGAGTTTGTGACAAGGGCAATAGAGTGGTACCCTGGGTCCTGTGCTTGCTGAGAGGGACTATGGCCAGTTAGTCTTGGGTTCTGACTGGCAGAAAGAGAGGCTTGGGCCAGCACTGGCTGATGGGATGTACAATGGCATTACTGTTATCATCAGAGACTAAAAAGGCAAAGGTTCAACAAAGAGTGAAGAATCAGTGCCAGGATTGGTTGATGACATCATGCTTGGATCTTTGTGACCATTCCAAAGAGTGAGACACAGGTCACATTCTGGAACCAAGCACATCTGGCTACTGTCTGAAGAAGGATAGACTATAGGATATGAAGATGGACAGAACATTGAATCAGACGTTGAGTTCTTAGTCAGAGATGCCATGTAGACCTCTGAGTGTGATGGAGAAGGGCTTATGACCGATACCTAAGGTCTCTTGTTCAGCAAGGAGCAGAAGGCTGGACATTGTCCTGAGATAAAGACCTGACTTGATGTTGCTGCTAGTCTTGGCTATGGAGTTGCTTTATTACTCGAGAAAATGATCATTTGACAAAACATTTTGCTTGTGTCAATTTCTGTCTCTGGTTCCCCATCAGAGAACCCTAAGCACAAGTTTCCTCAATGCGCCTTATGTAGGTTTGTGTCTCTGTACAGATTTTTAGGTACTAGGGTAGAGTCTGTGTTCATGACTATAAATCCCTCCAGATCTGTGCCTCATGGCTAGTGTGGCTGGAGATGTCCTAAGAGACCAGAATATTCGAACGTAAGGACTGATCTGGACTTGGGGTAGTTACCTATGATTCACTTGACAATCACAAACTACAGGATTCATTCTGTCAACATATGCAAATCACATCTCCTTGTGAGGTGGGAGCAGAATGTGGGTCCTGAGTGACCCCATGAGTAGCATCTTCCTGGCAGTGTGTATGGCCACACCCTTGCTCTGAGGCAGCAGATGAGTACAACTCAGTCTGGTATGGTCAGTGTCATGCACCCAGGAGCAGGCCAGGCAACTTCTCTTCAAGGCTCTGACATTGCTTCTTTGTCTCACAGCTCCTCCAACGTCATTCCCGACCATAGCTGGTGAGTCCTGATGTCCTTCAACTCCTCTCTATCCTCTCCATCCCTATTCTGGCCATGGCCAACAGCTACAGAGTGGGTGGGACTCCAGTATTCTGTCTTCCCAAGGACCTTCAGCACTCTCCATGCAGTAAAAAGGCAGCATGCGTGATTTAAGCTCACCCTCTGCTTGACTCAGTGGGATATGAGAATTGCAGCACTTAATCCAGTTTGCCAAACGTCACTTCCTGTGAAATGATTTGAGAAAGCATTATCTTTTGCAACAGTCATGTGACATAGGGCACAGGAAACTGTTCCTTTCAGGGTCCTAAGGTATAGATGCCATAATTCTTTTTGCCAATTTCATCATGCGTGACAAAATTCTACCTGTCCTGGGTCCCAGGAATACCTCACTGTCAATTTGATGGACACATGGCAGCATGGTTAGGACCAGCATTTGCTTTCAGGGCACGGACAGTCTTTCATTCAGATACAGTGCTTCTGTGTCCAATGTTATCTGCTCTGAACCACAAATCCCTTGACAGAACCTGGATGCACAAGCCTTTCTTCTAATCTTTGTTTTCCTCCTAAATTGGTGCCCTACAACATATCCTTATGGTAAGTCTGTTTTCAACCGTGAGTTTAGAAAGAGACAGGTATTCTGGGATCTTCTTGAAGTCTGTGATTGAGCGCAGCTCAGAAAGAGAAGGAGAAAGAAAGGAATAAGAGATAGAGCTTATCTTTCTTGTGTACTTGTGCAGTGATCCACTCCATTTACAAAAATCTACCTTGTATTTACTCCATCCCAGAACTACTAAATAGATTTAGTCTGAGCCCTTACAGGACTGGACTCATGATCAGGGCTTGAAGTCTTCAGTGTGAGCCTTTGGCAAACACTACCTGTGCCATTAAGAACACTATGGCATTGAGAGAAGACCTAAGTCCTGGACTCTGTCATTTAAAACAGCAGGAATATACAGAGAGCACATAGTTCTTCCTGTAGACTTTCTCTGTTCTCCAGAGAGAGTTACACCCATATCAGCAAACACATGTGCACCTGAAATAGCCCTTGAGGTAGGTGTTAATTTTGCTGAAGATCCTTTGTGTTGAGGGTACAGAAACTTTGCACCAGGAATCTAAAGGCTTGGTAAGCACAATCACAACCAGGTGAGGAGTCACGAGACTCAAGGAAAGCCTTTCACCATGAGTACAGGTGACACCTGACTGTGGTGTTGGTGGAACTTACCTAATGAGTGTCATTTTATCTCAGGAAATGATTCTTCACTGGTGCTGAGGCTGGCAAATGGAACAAATCAGTGTGAGGGCCGAGTGGAGATCTTGTACAGAGGTTCCTGGGGCACTGTGTGTGATGACAGCTGGGACATCAATGATGCCAATGTGGTCTGCAGACAGCTCGGTTGTGGCTCTGCTCTGTCTGCCCCGGGAAATGCTTGGTTCGGTCAGGGCTCAGGGCTCATCGTCCTTGATGATGTGTCTTGCTCGGGATATGAATCTCACCTGTGGAACTGTCGTCACTCTGGCTGGCTTTTCCATAACTGTCGCCATATTGAGGATGCAGGAGTCATCTGCTCACGTGAGTTGGGTGAAAACCTCTACTGTCTTCTTCCAGGATGAAAGTCCTTCTTATCCCTGGATCTTACCCCTCAATGAATGTGATTTTTTTGTTATTGAAATTGCCTTATTTCTTTACTGGGAGGGAGTTTTGCCTCTTTCAACAAAGCTGGTTGTAGAAATTGTCACTGGTAACCCTCACTTGAGAAACATCAGTCATTTTCATTTCTATTTCTGTTAGAAGATTCATGGAGAAAATCACTGGTTTCAGTGCTTCTTCTCGCATGGGAGAGTTATGGGGGATAGAGAACACTGCAGTCTAGAGACTGAGGAATATACTCTATCAACGAGCATATACCAGTTCAAAGTGCTTTGAGAAGACTGGTATATTCAGACCGGTCCCATACCCTAGGTTTTTGAAATGAGGCTTATTGGCTAGCACTGTGAATATGCATTAGTACATAGAGATTATTAGTATAAGAGAGGGATATATGTATTTTAGAAAAGAACTCCTTACATTTCTCTACCTCTGTTCCATTTAGTGGGAATAACACGGCACACTGTAACTACACTCTAAATATAACCAAACCCTAACCCTAACAACAAACCAAAACCTAACACCATAACAATAACCATAACTCTAAAACCCTAACCAAAAATCCTAATCCTAAAACCCTAACCGTAACCCTAACCCCTAACCCTAACCCAACCCTAACCCTAACCCTAACCCTAACCCTAACCCTAACCCTAACCC